AGATGAATTGTTTAGTTATCAAATTTGTGAATTGACCTTGTCATCTTCTTGATTTTCTTTTTCCCAATCTTTTGCTTCGAATTTCACATTTTTGAATTCCCACATGTATAATTTGTAGAAAAACAAATACTAAAACTTGAATACAATATACATGTTTATTTTTAGAATAAACCTAGATTGTGCTCTATATTGTAAAATTTGGAGAAAACTTAGAATCTTGGATTTCAAGAACGACATTAAATATCACTTATCAAGGGAAAGATCATGAGTATAAGGATTGTAGGTATTTTTTACCTTGTCTCCATTAACGATGTGCTTTTTGTTGAGGAACTTAAGTATAACCTACTAAAGCATATGTCAATTGTGTGACAATGCATACATTGTCTCCTTCAACAAGGATAAATGTATAGTATTAATGTTTGATGGATAAATTGTCTTTTCGACCAAACGACACAACAATATTTATGAGATAGATTTAATTAGTCTTAGCAAACAAAAAATAAACTTATCTATTTTCCAAAGAAGATGAAAGATGATCTTGGCACAACACTCTTGCTTATTTAAGAAAAATATTTTAAGAGGATTGCCCAATATTTCATGGAAAACTCATGCTCTTTGTGAAACATATAAGAGAGGAAGATAGTTAAAAACTACTTTTAGCTCAAATAAATTGTGCTTGTATTACTAGACCTCCACAATCTTGCATATGCATCTTGACCTACGAGAACTCTTAGTCTTAGTGGAAACAAATATTGTTTGATAATTGTATATGACTATTCAAGATTTACATGAATATTTTGCCCATAATATTGAGTCTTTAAGGGTGTTTAAGGTATTCTGTAAAATAATAAATAACAAGAGTTTTGTATCTTTAGTAGTAAAAGTGCACACTATTAAGCTTGAAAATTGAGAGTTTAAAATGTTATGTGGATATGACGGCATACACCATGATCATTTTCGTTTTCAATCAAATTAAATAAATACACCACTTAATGCAAAAGTAGATTCTTCTAATGAAAGAGTCTATATCGTCTATTGTACAAAAGGTCAACAAAAATATGAGTATTAATGGAGTTAGTCAACCCAAATTCGTCTCGTAACAACTTTAATGAGAATCTTGTAAAGCAAATTTTGAGGGCATTTGCAGAAGCATACATTAAAAAGATTAGTAAAGTAAAAAGGGAATTTTTGTTGAAGATGATGTTGAAAGAATGAGAATAAAAGAACAAAAGAAGCATATTAATTTTCTAGTTCATTCATTATAATGTCCATTTTTTTACCTATTTTTATGTGTTTATTGGCATGAATGAATCAACTATTCCCTAGTTTTAATCTTGTTTTATCCTTAAGTTTAGTGTATTTTGTATTGTTTTAATCTAATCTCTTTGTTTATAAGTGTAAAATAATTGAATAGGAAGCATTTGTGATGGAGGACAACAAGTTGGAACTCAAGAGAACATGTGTTTGGACAAAAATGGATTAATTTAGAGCAAATACCCAAGTTGAAAAATGCCAAAATTTCACCTAGCACTGCAAAGTTAGAGAACAACCAATTCTACAGAGGAGCCTGACGTTGAGCCACAAAAAAGTGGCGTTGAGCACCACCTGGTCCAGCAAACACTAACGTTGAATAGTGTGAAATGGCGCTGAGTGGTGGTTTGACAAATAACTTGTAATTCCTATAATATCAATTAGGAGAGTTCTGATACTTTGATTATTGTTAAAAAAGGAGTGCTTTGTTTCTCACACCAAGAGAGGGGGTGAATTGGTGTTGCGTAAATAATTATTACTTTCAAAAACTTTTTTGCAAAATAGGATGTCTTTATACTTTTCTTGAATCACAAGTAAAATGATATGTAATGCAGTAGTTCACTTAATCGAATACAAAAATAGATTAATCGACTACAATAAAGAGTGAGGGATCAGAGAAATCAATCGTTCGTTTTTATATTGGTTCGGCCAACCTGCCTACATCTAGTGTCCTTCCAACCATGGGAAGCAAATGCACTATAAAGATCTAGGTTTTTACATCAAGGTTTTTATAGCGACCTCACCTCAAAATGTAAAACACTTCTCTAACCCACTAATCTAATATAGGCAATACAACAAACAAGACACGTAGCAAGAACACCCTCTTTTGCTATCAAACCCTTTGAGACACTCTCAAAGTAAAGAACACAGTTCTTCTTCCTGTAATCACCATAGGGAATACTAGCCAATCTTCACGATTGTAGAGTTCCTGATCAAGCAAAATACACCTCCTTGCGCAGAGAGATCAGACGTTCAAACACAGTAAACCTTACTAAACTAGAAACCTTCAAGACTCTAAATCACCACGGTAGATCTTTGGTTCTTGGAGCTTTTCTTTCCTCTGTAAGATATCACAGCATTTCTGAAAGATATGAAAGTGTAAAGATTAAAACTTCTTCTTCTTCTCACAGAAATCAAATCATGCATCAATATATAATATTTTACGAAACAAACACGTTATAATCGATTAAGCTATTAAGGTAGTCGAATACAATTCTCAGTTATAACAGAATAATAGTAGTCAAACACATTAATTGAAAGCGCAATTAATGTAATCTATTTGTCATAAATGCTTGGTCAACATATTTAAAAATATGACCATTGTGACAGTTATGTCAAGCATTTAAATAGTTTTCAAATCAATAACAAACTTAGTCGAATACAAGTTGCATGCAATCGATTAAGTAGAAACACTTAGCTCATTTTTGAAAACTTTTCTTCTCAAAATATCTCACAACACTCTTGAAAAGAATTTGTGCAAACATACAAGTTTTAATCGATTTGAACAGTAATGTAATCGACTTAAAATTATTGTTTTGCCACACTTTAAAGTTCAACCATAGTGCTTGTGGTTTTTCATTTCTGAAAACATATGTTATGCATCCAATGATAAAATCACATATTAAACATAGTGGTATGCTATAATCAACACAATAATGTTCACATATATACTTTTATAGATATAACAAAGTCAGCATAAGCATATGACATGTATAACACAGTACACACATGTTATTTTTAATTATGTGTTGTCATCATAATAAACATAGTTATCAATGAGATTGTGGGTTCAGTTAAACTAGTGCTCTCCCTATCAACAATCTCAACAATTCTTTTACATATTTTATTACTTCTGAAGATGAAAAACTTTATCTACAATTATCGAACTTGATCATATTGCATAATATGTTCAATTTTTTTGTTCGGAGTTATACAATATAATGAATTAAACACTGAAATTGATAAGTGACATATATTTACAATTTATGGTGATACATTTAAATATTTTCCATGATCCTTCCAATATATGCAATACATAGATTACCTTTCTTTTTTATTTTCTTACAAAAAAAGTTATAAAATTTGTGTAAGAACCTAAAAAATAGAATATTAGAGTTGGTAGGTGTGTTAAAATAATGAGACCAAATATTATAAAATTTAAAAATAAATTGATTAAATAAATAGAATTTCTTAAATTTGTCTCATTATCTTAAATATTCACATTCTCTCTAAAATATTATTCTCTTGAACTCTCTACAATCTCTCTAAGAGTTCTAACTCCTCGATCATCTGTTTGACGATAAGAAGGTGTTTAGATGATCACGGCGATAAGGTCTACCTATCCATTTGATCAATTTTTGGTTTAGAGCAAGTAAATTTTGATTCATTTTTCTCTCTCGTTCTTAGTTTGAGATCAAGCATTGTAATCCTGTCTCATATGATTCATGATTTCTTTTCCTAATTCTTGGTCCACCTAAGGTCCTAAGGAATCTTCCTGCCTCCAATTTGGTATTCTGTAGGTGTTTCTATAGTTCCTTATACTCTAACCAAGGATTCGACGTTTTTAGAGCTCTTTAGTTTCGTTGCGAGGTAAGGGAAGCTAGACCTTGTTTTAGTTTATGTTTGTGGTGTTAAATTAGTGTATATATATATATATATATATATATATATATATATATATATATATAATATGATGAATTAAATGTAATTGTGATAGTATTCTTGATGTTGAGATAATGATACTTGATAGAATGATGTTTGTATACTTGGAATTGTGTTATTATGATGTTTGATATATTAATGTATTATATGAATTGTTTTAATATCTAGCTTACCCTTTTGTTTCTGATTTTGTTGTATGTTCTTTGTTTCTTTTCTTGATTATGATCGTCCGGTGGGTGTGAACAAAGGGTGATGGGGTCTCTCTTGAGCAGACGTTAGATGAAGGATGATCGTCCGGTGGGTGTGAACAAAGGGTGATGGGGTCTCTCTTGAGCAGACGTTAGATGAAGGAGCCGTAAATGTTTAGTATTTTAGTTAGTTGTTTTGTACATAGTTTTGATTAGTTAAATGTATATAAAGTTGACTTTATAGTTATGTTAGATGACTGTATATAACTTTAGATTTCCTGTCTTGTTAATTGTTCTTGTTTTATTGAATGCGTGATGACTATTATATAGTTTTATATTATATTTTGGGATGTTACATTTTGGTATAAGAGCAGTTCTTTCCTTAGGAATCTTGTAGGTTATGAGTGTACTATGTTTCTGTTGTGTACTAAAAGTTATGTCTAATTAGTATCTCTATTTCTTTGAGTTGGACTGATGGCTTTTTCTCTATGCAAGTAGAAGATGACACCTAGGCCTCTTCCTCCCCCACTCACAAATCCTGATGAATCGGATCTTATGAGGATGATTGAATCCGTTATAGGGGCAATGTAGCAACATAATTCCTTCTTGGTTCAGCTGAACACGGTGGCCTTGCAGCAGTTGGATGCTGCTAGGTTGTCAAATGAGACATCCCAAAGGCAATATGTTGAGTTGATGAGCAGTGAATGAATTACAACTGGATCATCTTTTTCTTCTTCCACTCAACTTGAGGAGTGGAGTCTTAAGAGGTTTCTACAACACCACCCGACCAAGTTTTATGGCAAAGTTAGTCTAGATCAGGAAGATTAGTGGTTCCGAGATATGGAGAGGATTTATAATGCTAAGAGGTGCCCAAAGGAGAATAGGTTGGCCTACATTGAGTATTTACTGACTGGTGAGGCTAGCCATTGGTGGAGCAACATGAGATCCTTGTTAGAGAGCAGTGATACTCAGATTACTTGGGAGTTGTTCAAGAAGAAGTTTTACACTGAGTACTTTCTTGATAATGTGTGGTTTGCTAAAGAGGTTGAGTTTCTTCAGTTGGTGCAGGGTGGTATGTCGTTTTCTGAGTATGCTGACAGGTTTAAACATCTTATCCGATTCCACACATTAGCCATGGATGAGGAGTGGCGATGTAGAAAGTTTGAGAATGGTTTAAGAGGTGACATCAAGTTGTTGGTTGATGGCTTATGTATTAAGGAGTTTCCTGCTTTGGTAGAGAGAGAGCAAGAGTGCTTGAGAAGCTAAGAAAGAGGTGGAGAGTGTTAACTCATTGGCAAGTGTACCAAATCGTTTTAAGTAATAAACCGGTAAGACCGGATATCATATCCCAAGAGACTCGTATGACACTTTACAATCGTATAATTACCTAACTAATTTAGACTAACGAATGATTTCATTTAATGTGATTTCGGTGCAATAAAAATAAAAATAATACATAAGTTGCAAATTGAACTTTTTGGGTTCAAAACACTTGGAAATGAAATGATTAAAGATGATATGGAATGGAAATGTTGGAGAATGATTTTACCTACTACACTCTCATGCAAATGCATATTACTACTTCTTCATTAATTGCTCATGTCAACCTACTAAGTTACTCAAACCCAATCCCTTGGTAGAGAGAGCCTAGACTTACTCATTAAACTCCAATCCCTTGGAAACCTAACAGGTTCATCTGCATTAATAAATGAGGTTTAAGACAACTAAAGGTCCAAGTTCTATTCCTAGATACAATTTCCTTTAGGTATTTAGTCTAGTTCACGGTTCACCCAATATTTCCCAACATTAAGCAAACCAAAGAATCATGTTATGGTTGATCAAGTCACAATAAGCTTTAAGCAAAGGAAATAAACAATAGCAATCAATGAAAGAAACTTGTATTCATTCAAAACAAGTGCATTTATAAGAGAGTTTCATAGTTACATAATTCCCTAACAAAATGAACTTAGCTCTCCATTGTCATGGAGAGCTTGAGCTTACAATGGATGAAAATGGAAGAGATGGAGACCCAAGGAAGATGAATGGAGAGCTCCCACTGTCGCCCAAAACTAGCTCCCAGAGGTCCAAAATGGTGTTTTCGTGCTTCAGCCGCCAAGAAGATCGCACCCTCATTGCATGGTAGCTTTAAATAGGTCTAGGGTGCCACATCAGCAAGTGTCGCGCTAAACCCCCCCCCCCTTCTGGGGTGCCCGGGCGTAAAAGTTGCGCATAGAGTTGCACGAAGATTGGCGCTCAGCCCCTTTCTAGGGTGCCCGGGCGTGAGTTGCGCACCAAATGGGGCTCAGCCCCCCTTTTTGGGGCGCGCAAGCATGAAAATTGTCTTCATGAGTCCTCTAATCACTTGCTTTTGCAGCTTTTCCTAGGTTCTAGCTCTTTATGGTTTTTATGCTCTTCCAATGCACACAATTTGCCTACAAAATTGAGGGAATTAGTGATGAAAATCCCTAAGTGTAACCTAAACTAAACTTATTCACAAAGTTAGATAAAAGAGAGGATTATGCAGGTTTCAAGCTTCAAGATAGTTTATTTGGTATAAAAATGCACCACAGATAATGGTAAGAATTACCGTTATTAGAGAGTCAGCAAGCCAGTCGTGGAGGGTTGGTAGGCCATTTGGGTCCAAGAGCAGTTTTAGTGCTAGGGGGACACCATACTCTAGGCCTCCTTCTCATGGGTCTAGGGGTTCTCCTCTCCGTAGTTAGTTCAACCAAGCCAGGCGAGTTAGTCGGGGAGTTTGAGATGTTATATTTGTGAAGGGTCGCATCTACAGTCAACTTGTTCACAGATGGTTGGGTTCAAGAAGTGCAACATCTGCAAGAGAGAGGGGCACTACACTAAAGATTATCCTACGGTTAGGAGGATAGGTTCACAGTCACATCAAGCGAGTCGATCTCATCTGAGGGGAGGTGTCAGACCTCAAGCTTCGAGCAGAGTGTTTGCTTTATCTGTGTCAAAGGCAGCCAGTTCAGGTAACCTTATTATTGATCACTATTTGTTGCATGGTAGGAGTTGTTGTGTTTTGTATGATTCTGCACCGATACACTCTTTTTTGTCATAAGCTTGTGTACATAAGTTGGGGTTGTCAGTCTGTGAACTATAGTATGACCTGGTTGTGTCTACTTCAGCTTCCGGGTTGGGTAGGATGTCTCCAGTGTGTGCTAGATGTTTTGTGATTGTTGAGGGGCGTCAATTTAAGGTAAATCTCATATGCTTACCTCTACAAGGATTGGAGGTGATCTTAACGATGGATTGACTATCTATCAATCGCATTCTCATAAATTGTGGTGAGAAAAAATTGTTGTTTCTTGATGTATAGGAGTCTATGTTGTTGTGTTCGGGGCAGGTATGTCAAAAGTTAAGTGAAGGGTCGTGTTGCTTTCTAGTGTTAACTAATATGGAGGTTGAGCAGAGTGGACAGAGTTTAGATCACTCAACTATGAGTGATTTCTTGGTTGTGTTTCCTGAGGAAGTGTCGAGGTTGCCTTCTCAAAGGGAGGTTGAGTTCTCTATTGATCTAGTGTCAGGTTTAGGGCCAGTATCAATAACTCCTTATAGGATGGCTCTTGCAAAGTTAGTAGAGCTTAAAAAGTAGATAGAACATTTGCTTAAAAAGCATTTTATTAGGCTGAGTGTCTCGCCATGGGGTGCGTCAGTGTTGTTAGTAAAGAAGAAGGATGGTAGCTTTAGGTTGTGTATGGACTTGAGGCAGCTGAATAAGTTGACCATCAAGAACAAATATTTGTTGCCCAGAATAGATGAATTAATTGGTCAACTACATGGAGTTGCGATGTTTTCCAAGATAAATCTAAGGTCGGGTTACCATCAGATTCTAGTTAAGGCAGGTGATGAGTAGAAGACTACCTTCAGGTCTAGATATGGGCATTATGAGTATGTGGTCATGCCTTTTAGTGTGACTAGCGCTATAACTATATTCATGGACTATATGAGCAAAATCTCCAGGTCATTCTTAGATAATTTTGTCGTAGTCTTTATATATGACATTCTTATCTACTCCAAACCTCGTGAGGAACACGTTAATCACTAGGGGTGTTGAGAGAGAAGCAATTATATGCCAAGTTTTCCAAGTGCGAGTTTTGGATGAAGGAAGTGTAGTTTCTAAGACATGTGATCTCAGTTGGTGGTATATCAGTAGATCTGGTGGTTGTTTTTTCCTTGAAGATTTAGAGGCACTATCTATATGGTGCACAGTTTCAAGTGTTAAGTGATCATAAGAGTTTGAAGTATCTTTTTTATCAGAAGAAACTAAACATGAGGCAGAGGAGATTGATGGATTTCTTGAAGGAATTTGAGTTTGATCTTCTTTACCAGCTAGGGAGGGCGAATGTAGTAGCAAACGCGTTGAGTAGGAATACAATTCATGTATCTGCTTTGATGGTCCAAGAGTTGGAGCTAATAGAGAAGTTTAGATATATAAGACTACTGGTGGAGCTTGAGTCAGATTGTATCAAATGCAGTAATGTGGTGGTTTCAAGTGATCTGCTAGGTCGTATCATAGAGAAACAATTATCAGATGTCGAGCTGCAGATATCAGTAAGTTTGTTGGGTACAGATCAGGGCAGAGAGTTTGCTTTGGGGATTGATGGTATCTTGAGATTCAGAGGCATAGTCTGTGTTCTTGATGATGTTGAGCTGAAGAGATTGATCCTTGAGGAAGGACATCAAAGTCGTTTTAACATGCATCCTAGCATGACTAAAATGTATCAGAACCTCAAGGAGTCTTTCTAGTGGTTTGGGATGGGAAAGGATATAACACAATTTGTTTCTTCATGTTTGACCTGTCAAAGAGTTAAGGTGGAGCATCAACGACCTGGTGGTTTGTTGCAGCAGTTGGAGGTCCCTAAGTGGAAATGAGATAACATAGCCATGGACTTTGTTAGAGGTCATGATGTTATTTGGTCAGTAATGGACCGATTAACCAAGATTGCTCATTTCTTGGCAGTGAATCTGGGGATGTCTATGGTGAAGCTTGCATAGTTGTATATCAGAGAGATAGTGAGGCTGCATGGGGTACTATCGAGCATTGTGTTAGATAATGATCCACGATTTACATCCAAGTTTTGGCACTCTCTACAGAGTCAGTTGAGCAGCAGGTTACAGATGAGCTCTACATATCATCCTCAGACAGATAGTCAGTTTGAGAGAACGATCCAATTACTAGATAATTTTCTGAGGACGCGTGTATTGAATCATTTGGGAGTCTGGGATGAAGTGTTTTCGTTGGTGGAGTTCACCTACAATAATAGTTTTCAATCTAGCATTGGTATGACACTGTGTGAAGCATTGTGTGGTAGAAGATGTCAAACGCCTCTATGTTGGTTTTAGGAGGGTGAAGCAATGTTGGTTGGGCCAGAGTTGATTCAACAAACCACGAAGAAAGTGAAACTTATACAGGAGAGGATGAAGGCATCTCAAAGTAGGTAGAAATCCTATGCTGATCAAAGACGTAGACCGCTTGAGTTTGTAGTTAGGGACCATGTCTTCCTTCGAGTGACTCCTACTACATGTGTAGGTAGAGCCTTTCTTTCTAGAAAGTTGTTTCCTAGGTTCATTAGTCCTTATCATATCTTAAGGCGAGTAGGGTTAGTGGCTTATGAGATAGCTATTCCTCCCCAATTGTCGAACCTTAATCTAGTTTTTCATGTTTCATAGTTTAAGAAGTATGCGTCAAACCCCTCTCATGTGTTTGAAGTGGAGGATGTGCAAGTCACAGATGATCTTACAATGGATGTTCAACCTGATGAAAACAAAGCACCTTATAGGAAAGACCATCAGTCTAGTAAAAGTTGTCAAGGATAGAAGGATATGTGACTCTACGTGGGAGTTAGAAGGAGTCTTGAGAGAGTCCTATCCTCACCTGTTCTTTGGTAAGTTTAATTTTCGAGATCGAAAATTTTTGTTATTGGGAAGAATATAAGAACCAAGAAAATAGAATATTAGAGTTGGTATGTGTGTTATAAAATTTAAAACTAAGTTGGTTAAATAAATAAAATTTCTTAAACTCGTCTCATTATCTTAAACACTCCTCTTCTCTCTAAAACATTATTCTCTTGAACTCTCTACAATCTCTCTAAAAGTTCTAACTCCTCGATCATTTGTTTGACGATCAAGAGGGGTCTAGATGATCACGATGACATGGTCTACATATCCATTAGATCAATATCTAGTTTAAAGCAAGTACGTTTCAATTCCTTTTTGTCTCTCGTTCTTAGTTTGAGATCATGCAT